CAATGTCCCAAGAATTCATACCCATTTCTCCCACACCAGTCTTCGAACCACACGTTTACCTCATTAATCTTGTTAGCCCTGTGCCAATTTACTCGTGGCTCAGGTAATTGCTCAAAGGTTATTACCTTTTTTGGTTCTGCATTTTAATTTAGCCCTGAGATGCTCATATGTCCTCAACAGAACCTTTTTTTTTCTTTCTAAGTTTATCGTTGGTACCTATGTGGGTCTTTCCCCTCCCACTCTAAATTCCTCTGCAACCCAGATGGGATATCCTGAACCCAGCCAGTACTCTCGATCCTGGTCACAGAGAACAGTGCCTATTACCTTGACTATACTATCCCTGATTACAACATTTCTCTCTTCTCCCCCAACTCTTGAATGGCTCTCGATACCATGGTGCTATGGTCAATTGGCTCATCCTCCCCACAGCCCTCACTCTCATCCACCCAGGGAGCAAGAATTTCCAACCTATTAGACAAGATTAAGGGCTGAGGCTTCTTCAGCACTACCTCCTGGATCCCTCTACCTGCTCGACTCATTGTTACACACTCCTATCCCTAACCGCTGACCAAATTTGAGATACTTCATCTAAGGGCTGTGACTCTACAGAGAAATTCCCTCCAACGGATTAGGCTGTCTTTCTTTCTTTAGTTATACACAGGCAACTGAAAGAATAGACCAGAATTTTCCATCTCCTGGGGATCAATGGGATGGAGGGAAGACAGTCAATGGAAGAGCAAGGCAGGAGAGCAGGTGGGGGTCAAGGAGGCTGACCGTGTCTTGCGTTGCACCACCATTTTGACAGATGGAGGGAGCAGGGAAGGCTCTGGTTTACTGCTGGGTGATCTGGAGCTGATTAACAGCCACTTGAAAGCAGGGTCACTCTCTGTAAAACGGAATTCAGTTAAACACCTTAGGTAACCCTTCTTCCAGCAACTGCCCCCATCGCTGCACCCCCCACCCCCGACAATCACCGGTCCTTAACAACACCTACCCACAACAGGCCTGCCAAAAGCCTGACTCTGTAACAGCAGCCCCCCACCACCCCAACTCCCCAGGTCGCCATGGAAACAGCCACCTCAGTAACACAAAAATAACTAGTATGCCAGTAACGTACACAAACAACAGTCACCCCAGTAACACACAGGCACACAAACACACACAAATAACTATCAGTGGGAGGAAGAACAGGTTAGGGAGGCGGGGACGAGCTGGATTGGTTTTGGGATGCGGTAGGGGGAGGGGAGATTTTGAAGCTTGTGAAATCCTCTACATCGGGGAAACCGAGTGGAGGCTCAGGGACCGCTTTGCAGAACACCTACGCTCGGTTCGCAACAAACAACTGCACCTCCCAGTCGCGAACCATTTCAACTCCCCCTCCCATTCCTCAGACGACATGTCCATCCTGGGCCTCCTGCAGTGCCACAACGATGCCACCCGAAGGTTGCAGGAACAGCAACTCGTATTCCGCTTGGGAACCCTGCAGCCCAATGGTATCAATATGGATTTCACAAGCTTCAAAATCTCCCCTCCCCCTACCGCATCCCAAAACCAGTCCAGCTCGTCCCCGCCTCCCTAACCTGTTCTTCCTCCCACCTATCCCCTCCTCCCACTTCAAGCCGCACCCCCATCTCCTATCGACTAACCTCATCCCGCCCCCTTGACCTGTCCGTCCTCCCTGGACTGCCCTATCCCCTCCCTAACTCCCCACCTACACTCACCTTTACTGGCCCCATCCCCGCCTCTTCGACCTGTTTTGTTTCCTCTCCACCTATCCTCTCCTCTATCCATCTTCCACTCTCTCCCTATTTATTTCAGAACCCCCTTCCCCTCCCCCTTTTCTGATGAAGGGTCTAGGCCCGAAACGTCAGCCTTTCTGCTCCTATGATGCTGCTTGGCCTGCTGTGTTCATCCAGCCCTGCACCTTGTTGTCTCGGATTCTCCAGCATCTGCAGTTCCTACTATCTCTGATTCAAATAACTATCACTCCAGTAATCCACACGTAGACAAATAACTGTCACCTGCAGCAACGCACACACAGACAAATAACTGTCACCTGCAGTAAACTATAAACAAGGGAAAGGCCAACATAGAGATAAGATAAAAAGAAACAAAGAATCAATTCAGAAATGTTATGAACAAAACAGTCAGATTAGGATCTTGAGAGCGATATAATAATAGGCGGCACGTACTCACCTGAAGCTTCCATTTTCCTTTAAGAATACGGAAAAGTGAGTATGATCTGAGAAAATAAAACTCAGCAAATTGCAAAAAGGACAGTCATAGCTCAGATTTAAATTAAGGGATGGGTGTAATTACTGTTGTCTGCTATACGCACAGCGATGTTATAAGAATGAATCAAAATCCCAAATTGTTGGGAAAACTCAGCAGGTCTAGCGGCATCTGTGCAGAGAAAGTAGAGTTAATGTTTCGAGTCCAGTGACCCTTCAGAATGGGCCTGAAACATTAACTCTGTTTTCTCTCCGCAGATATGCCAGACCTGCTGAGCTTTCCCTGCAATTTCTGTTTCTGCTTAAGATTTCCAGCATCTGCAGTTCTTTGGCATTTTTTTATGATTGTTTGATATAATTCCTCCCATTGTTTTCATTCCCAGGTCTGCATCCCATTTCAAGCTGAAAAAACGTGTCAAGGTTTGTGAGGTCTGGATGGCATCCTGCATGGACGAAGTGTGTGAAGGGACCACAAATCCTGAACTTTCCTTTGTGATGGGTTGGCCCACAACTAATTGCGTGGCTACATTCAGGTAGTTATATCGTTCCAGGATCAAAACTGACTGATCAAAACATTGGTAACAATTTCAGTGCAGGTCATAATTAGCACTTTTATTTTGTATAGATCACTTTTTTTTTTATATGGTTAATAATTCCACAGGTGCCAGGAATTTGTCTATCCCACTCATGGTCATGGTACTATCCCATAAATGTAAACTAGGCGACCAGTGTTTTAATCGGAGCTATTAAGTATCATCTAAATGTGAAATCAATCAACCAACCTCAAATCAATAATCAGCTGAGTAAATTTGAAAGGGGAAATGTACAGGCCAGTTAAGGATGCCATATTTCAAAGGCAAAAAGTAAACCACATATATATGTGCTCAATGATGTGCTGCATGACTTAAAATTTGCACCATGCTTATTTATGTGGGACAGAGCAAAGAAATCGATATAAACAATTACTTAAAAGATTGCTTTAGTTTAATTAGATAATCCGAGATATGGTAGAATGCTAGAGGATTGTAGGACTTAAAATGTTCTAAAGGGAGTAAATATAAAATCCCTTCTGCCCACATTTGATTCAGCCAAATAGACGATTACAAGAAACCTTTGCAAAGTAATATCCCAAATTCTAGCCTCAACTAATCTAACACCTAAATCATGTAGTCTAATTGAGGAGATTCTTTGTGAAAAATTTTCTACGCTAGCAAGACTTGGTGTTCTCTTTGAAGTTTAATGGATTTTTTTTGTTACAGCTCACCAGAACAGAAAGAGAAATGGCTATCTTGCCTCTACAGGTAGAACCACAGAGATTTTTTTAATTACTTATGTGATTTTAGCACTCTGACATAATTGTAAGACTTGAAGGCCAACATATTAAAATTGTGAGGGAAGAAAATGGTTTTTGATTTGATTACGGGCAAGCTAGTGAATTAATTTAAAACTGCCATGATTCCCTGTGTTGCAAGGGTGTGACCACCTTCGGAAGGTGCTATAGGAACCTGAGGGAGCCATATCAAATCAGAATAATCAATCCACATTCCAACTGGCTCCAAGTTCAAGAGGCGTCACAGAAAAGATAATGCATGGAGGGAGAGGAAGTTTGAGAATAAATTGAAATGGATATATTAAGAACCACTGTGTGTCTGTTCCCAATTTACTTTTCTGTTTAGTTTAATTTACTCTGACATTACTGGGGAAGGGTGGAGGATGTCAGGGACATAGAGGTTCTGCTGACCTTGACAACAGGGCCTTAATTAAATAATCTGATACAGGCTTCCACCTGAAGCAGGCCAAATGGACAGCCCGGCTGGGATACATGAACATAAATAAGTGGCTGGGCATTGTGAGTGTAGTCTCCAGCAGCAAGTGGTCAGAAAGCTCAGAATAATGATTGGGAAGGAAGAGACCATTTGGAAAATTGGGAAGGAGGGCAGGCTAACAGGGCACTCAGGCTGTTTTTATAGCAGGCCCCAGCTTGGCCCTTCTGCACAATTGAAACTTGTGTCTTCACGAACCTGAAGCTTTGGCTTCAAATTGCATCATGACCTTGAATGGGGATACAGGTTCAGGAGGGGGAAGTGGTGAAGGGCAATGGAAGATTTGGTGAAAGAAAGGATTAGTGAAAAGGTGAGTCAAGGAAGTGACAGAGACTGCAAATAGAATGTTGACAGCAAGGTCAGGTTGCAGCAGCCAGTGCAAGTTGTGGGGTCAGCAGGAACAGGTTGGGTTCGGGAGTAGGAGACATACTCCAAAATTACAGTGGTCAGATCACACAGCTTTATATCAGACCAGCAGGAAGTGATCTTTTAACATGAAACTGATGTTTTTCTTAAAAATTTAATGAGTTAATGGAGCCTGTATTTTCATTGAGCAATGTGACTCAGGGTAATATTAAACAGGGCATACTGTATCTCAAATGCAGAATTCTTGAATATTACTTGTGTCACTCCCTCCCTCACCTTGTCATTTTCAGTTGCATTAAAGAAGAGAAGGAAAAAGAGCATCCTAGAAGTATTCCTTTGAAGATAGTTACCAGAAATGTTGGGAGCTGTGTATATGTAAGTAACATGTTCCCACATTTGAATTCGTCCAGGCTTCATCAACTTCTCATGTCACGTTCCATGTTTGTTTAATTAAACAATTTATTGAATCATGTACTCACAAAATAAAACTAATCGAGTTGTGCCCAGCATGGAATTTCCTTTCATTCATTGTACGATTTTATGGAAATGTTACAATGCAGAAGGAGGCCATTCAGCCCATGTATCTGCACCTGACCAGCATCTGGTCATCTCTTATGTGCTGTTTTCAAGCTTTTATAAATTCTGCCGAAGCCTGGAATTATTGAAATAACAATTGGAAAAACCTTTTAAAGATTGTTTTAAAACAATCAGAAGAAGTGTCTTTTCTTTACTCACTTTCATCTGACTCATTCTTTAATTGTTCAGCACAGCATGCTGGGCCAAAGGGCCTGTTCCTGTGCTGTACTGTTCTATGTTCTAATTATAAGCCAAACTCTGGGAGGCGAAGTGACAAACTCTTACCCAAGCACCGAAGCAGTCCATGTCCAAATGCAGCAAGACCTAGGTAATATTCGGGTTCGGGCTGAAAAGTGGCAAGTAACATTTGTGCCACACAAATACCAGGCAATGACTATCACCTATAAGAGAAAATCTAACCATTGCCCTTGACATTCAATAGCAGTACCATTGCTGAATCCCTGATCGCCAACATCCTAGGTGTTACCGTTGTCCAGGAACTGAACTGGACTAGCCATATAAATACAGTGGCTAAAAGAGCAGGTCAAAGGCTAGGAAATCTGCAGCAAGTAACTCCAATCCTGACTGCCCAAAGGCACTGTTCAGGAGTACGATGGAATACTTTTCACTTGCCTGGATGAGTGCAGCTCCAACAAAATTTGAGAAGCATGATACCCAAGTTGTTTGACACCACATCCATAAACATTCACTCCCTCCACTGCTGACATTGAGTAGCAGCAGTGTGTACCATCTACAGGATATACTGTAGAAATTCATCAAGGCTCCTTAGATATCACCTTTCAACCCTGTGACCACTACCATCTAGAAGGATTAGGGCAGCGGATACATGGGAACACCTCCATTTTCAAGATTTCCTCCAAGCCTCCTGACCTGGAAATATAGTGCTGCTCCTTCAGTGTCATCAGGACAAAATCCTGCAATTCCCTCCCGAAGGGCATAGTGAGTCTATCTATTGCACTTGGACTTCAGTGGTTCAAGAAGGCAGCTCACCCCACCTTCTCAATAAATGGGCAACAAATGCTGGCTCAGCCAGTGATACCCACAGCCCCTGAATGAATAGGAGTAAAAATGTGCCTTGCTCCTGAGCCTTGCCCTGATGAGCCAGATGAAAATGTTGTAGTTTATTTGTTACCCAATGAGTTTGCTTATCCATCATCAGAGTTGACCGTTGTATATAGTTAATATACAGCATGTAATCTTTTACACTAGGCCACCTGTGGCACAGAAGTAATATTCCTATCTCTGAACCAGAATGTCCAGGTTCAAGTCCCATCTTATTCCATAGGTGTGTAAATAACATCTCTGAACAGGTTGGTTAGAAAATATCTAGTCCTTTTCACTAAGGATTTATGTGGTGCAGTGGTAGTGTCCTACCCACTCTGGAAGTGTGTCATAACAGCTCTGAACCGACTGATTAGGAAATAGGTCAAAAAAGAGTGTGTTGTAACCTTTCGGCAAAGGTTGACTAGAAAATATTTAGTTATTTTCATTGAGTAGGTTTGTGAATGTTTGTTCTTGCTAAACACCTGAAAAGAAGAAGCACTAAGCTGCTCTGCATCCATGCATGCATTAGCTTTTGGAACTAATTGATGTGAACCATCTGAATTGGTAATCAGCACTTCAGTTTGCCAACGTAGTTTAGAAACCTATGTAAACAATAGAGAGGAATGAGACAGGAGCAATTGATTCCATAGCATTTCTTTATTAATATCTCAGCCTTAGTCTTATCAAATATATTGACATGATGTCTGAAAGTCAGTGTAACTCTTCTAAGAGTCACCTGTTTCATTCTACCTGGGAGTAAAAATCATCCCTGTGCATCTGAAAAAGTTGATTTCATGATACGAGACACAGTCAATAACAGCTAACTGAGAGGCCATTCTGTCTGAACTTTGCCAAGTTCATATTCAGAAATAAATGCCCTCATAAGTTTGACTGGGGCCATGAACATGATCTGAGATATGATCTGAGAAATTGCTTGACAAGAGTAAAGAGTTCGCTGTCCTTTTATGGAGGAATCGATGTAAATTCAAATTGCATTTTTAATTTTTTTTTTGCCTGTCTTTCAGTCAAAGGTCTTGACTGTGAACAATACAGATACGGCATATGATGTTGTTGCCATGACACTTCAGCAGTTTGGCATTACAGTAAGTCAATAACAAATTGCACCTATTTTTAGACTAAGTTTGCTACATTTAATATTTTTTCAACTTTATAGCCTAATTAATTATTCAAGCTATTTTATAGTTACCTTGCTCTTTGGAACCTTTGTATGTTAGAAGTTCTCCAAAATCACATCAGGATTCAATTATTTTAGATTAACCATATGACTATATATGACAATTGTACAACTGATGCCCTTAAATTTCAAAACTTCATTAAGAAAGAATTGTAAATCAAAATATATCCTAACTTTATTTTGAGATTTCAGACAGTCAAATAGTTTTCCATGCAGAAAAATTCTCATGTTATAAATTTATGACATGATGAATAGTGTCACTGTTGACTCAGAATTGGATTATAGTATTATTGAAGCTTTAAGAACTTTTAAGAGCAGAGTAGCATCATTTTATTGCATACACATGGTGCTTTTGGGTTAATTTTAGCTTGATAAGACCACAACATCGATACTCCTTCAACATCTTTTATATTTCAACAGTTGAGCATAAATGACATAAATTGCAACGTATCAGAGATGGTAGGAACTGCAGATGCTGGAAAATCTGAGATAACAAGGTATTGAGCTGGATGAACACAGCAGGCCAAGCAGCATCACAGGAGCAGGAAGGCTGACGTTTCAGGCCTAGACCCTTCATCAGAAGGGTCATTTTCTGATGA